CCCTTCCCCTCTTCCCTTCTTCTTCTGTCTTTCCTCTTTCCCTTTCTCCTTTCCTGTCCATTCTTGCAGGTTCAAATGCAAAAGGGGAAACATTTCTCCTTTTATTTTTAGTTTGTTTTGCTAGCCCTCTGCCTGTGAAAACGGAGCCTATGGGGCTGCACACGACCCCTCCAGACCCCATTTTCGCTGGCAGAGGCACCACGGTCCAGTCCTTTGCGGTTTCCAGGGTGGCTCTGCGGGCCTTTTAAGTTTGACACCCCGGATATAAGGACTCGTCAGTAGTCCTGCTTCTAAACAACAACCGGTGAATTTCTTTCTTTCTTCTACCTGAGCACCAGTTCACCTGTGGACTGCAATTACCCTGAACAACTGGAGTCTACAATCAACCTTGAAGCCCCCTGTTTCTACCCAAACAGCCATCTTGGTATGCATCAGCACGACCAGTATCCCCAACATGAGATGTCTCACTTCCCAATCCATCTTTCTGGCAACGCCTTGCCTAGTGTCCGACTCACAACAGCGACACCCAGTAAGTCCACCACATTTTTCTCGCTCCCTGGCAGCAATGGACTTGTGACCTATGGAGCAGCTGAGTGTTCTCAAGGTTTCCTACAGAATCATGTAGGAACTCACCTCCTACTACAGCCGTCAGCGGGGAGCTCAGGTGAGTACAGCACCTCCTAACAGAAGGTCTATCCCAGTGGTGGCTAACCTTTTTGGGCTCCTGTGCCAAAAATTGCACGCATACTTGCGTGCCAGCACCCGGAAGGCAATGCACGTGGCCCCTCCACGGCTCTGCGTATGCACGTGCGATCCCCCCACACCACCCCCTTACCTGCACTGCGCATGTGCATGCCTCCCAGCTGATTTTTGGCCCGTTTGAGGTCTTTTTCGGCCTCGAGGGAAGCCTCTGCAGCCTTTGCAGGCCGAAAAAAGGCCTCATTTCATCACTTCCAGTATTTCCGGAAATACAGGAAGTGACAAAACGGGCCTGTTTTTCGGCCTACAAAGGTTGCAGAGGCATCCCTCAAGCCTCGAGGAGGCCAAAAAAGGCCTCAAATGGTCCAAAAATCATCTGGGAGGCGTGTGCATACGCAGTGAGGTAAGTTTGGCTTGCATACCCACACAAATGACTCTGAGTACCACCTGTGGCATGCGTGCCACAGGTTCACCATCACGGGTCTATCCGTTATCAGGATTTCTTTCTCAAGGGTTGGGAAAAGGCAAACACCCTTCGTTGGTGTTACGGACACCCCTCAAGCTAACAGCCGCAAGTGAGCTCAAAATTTATGTTGCTGAGTGAAACATTGGTTGTGTTTTGCCCTGTTTTACGATTGTTCTTGCCACGGTTGTTAAGTGAATCGCTGCAGTTGTTAAGTTAGTAACACGGCGGTTAAGTGAATCTGGATTTCCTCATTGGCTTTGCTTGTCAGAAGGTCACACATGACCCCAGGACACTACAGCCATCATAAATGTGAACCAGTTACTAAGCATCTTGCCAGAGTATATTCATAGTGGAATAGAGCTTAGTAACCAGGTCAGCCAATGAGAGCTGAATTGGGGGCTGAAACTTAAGAGAGAGAATCGGGGCATGGTTTTTCTCTGTGCTCAGCTCTAAAGTGAACTAGCTTGCTTGCTGAACAAAAGTGAAACTGAGCTCTGCTCTGAACTGGAGCTGTAACATGTCTGCTTCTGTGTCATGCCCCTGTTAGAATCTGACTCTGAGGGAGAGGAGGAACAGCTGACAGGGAGTGAGAGTGTGGCTCCAGAGGTTGTGGAGGAAACTGGGGAAGGAAACGGGCCGGCTGGGCATTCAGAAGTTCATCCCCTCTTCATCCTAGGGCATGCAGGGAGGAACGGATAAGGGAGAAATATGAGTGGTATGGTCTATGGGGGAGGAAGGGGCCCTGATCCTCTTCATGGGCTGCAGCTGTGAGGACTGTTTAAAAGGACAAACTGCACATGGCCCAGTGCTGGAAGCAAAGTGTGAAATAATTCTAGTCTTTCAGTTCTTATTTGAGTTCTGGCATCATACCCAGTGTGTGTATTTTGATATCTGTGGACGTCTTCGAGCCCTTATCCTGCCTTGTCTCATAAATTGCTTCAGTGTGGTTTGTGTTGTTTTTTTTCTATTTACAGTATAATTTATATGCATTTTGAGTTTGAACAGCATTTCTTCCTTTTCGCAACTGTTTGTGGGGGGAGTTGTTTTCTCCAGTCAATGATAATTGGACCTTTGAAGCCAAGTTGAAGGAATTAAAAGGACTTCACCTGCTTTTGTGACTTTGTTCCTTTTGTATCCCACCTTGGGTCATCACATTTTGTTTGTGTTTGCTTGTTACCTTTCCATGTCGGAAGAAACTAATGGTATTGTACATTTACTTATTTTATATAAAAAAATGAAGTTTAATGAATCCTGCTGAATCAGTCATCTGTGTGTTTTCTGGACTTGAATTTATGCTGCAAACACTTTTAACACATCTGAATTTTGATCACGTGATCATGGGGATGCTGCAACCCTTGTAAGTGTGAAAAATGGTCATAAGTCACTTTTTCCAGGGCTGTTGTAACTGAATGGTCAGTAAATGAACAGTTGTAAGTTGAGGACTACCTGTGTTGTCTTCCAGAAAGATACTGTGGAGAATCCCATAATTAGGGCCTTCAGCAACATGCAGCCAGTCCTGGCTGACCTGTCATGCCCCTGGTGGAGACTGACTCCGAGGGAGAGGAGGAACAGCCGACAGGGAGTGGAAGTGTGGCTCCGGAGGTTGTGGAGGAGGCTGGGGAAGGGCAGAGTCTGGCTGGGCAGTCAGAGGAGGACCCAGGCCCATCCCCTCTCCATCTGAGGGCACACAGGGAGGAGAGGATAAGGGAGAGATGTGGTCTACTCAGGAGGAGAGGGCCTTGATACTCTTCATGGGCTGCAGCTGTGACAACTGGATAAAAGGATGGACCTGCGTACTGGCGAGTGCTGGAAACAAAGCGTGGAAATATCTCTAGTTTATTGTTCCTCTCTGAATTTAGTGTCCTTCCCAGTGTGTGTTCTGTTATCTCTGGATGTCCTCCAGCCCTTATCTTGCTTGGTTTGTTTGTTTTTTTACTCTTTATAATTTAAATGGCATTTCCTCCTTCTTGTAACTGTTTGTGTGGGAGTTTTTTTGTCTCCAGTCAAGGATATTTGGAGCTTGGAAGCAAAGTGAAGGAATACAAGGGGGATTCACCTGTTTTTTGTGACGGTGTTTATTTTGTATCCCACCCTGGGTCAGCACATGACCATAACAAGAGGTTTTGATCTGTGGAGATTGTCAATCATCCACGTGGTTGTCCCCAAGGTACTTTTCCCCCCCCAAAAGGCAATTAGACTTTCTTGTGAGTTCCACATACCGCCTTTGAAAACATTTTGCTGCTCATTTGCTCAAAACTGGAAACAGGACACTATCCCCTCCGAGACAGCAATAATAAAAAAGACCCTCGAATGTGCTAAAATAGACAGGTTAACAATGATATTAAAAAATAAAGAAGAGATAGAGTACTGTAAGATACGGAATGTTTGGTACGAGTGGTTAGAAAGAAGACGCAAAGGCATCCATCGACAGCAAAACTGAGAAAGTGTTAATTAATGATGTATATATATGTATATACATACATACATACATATATAGATATATAGATATATTAATAATTTTATAAGTTAGATCGAAAAATAAGAATATAAGTGAATAAGAATGGAGAAGTAATTTATCTAGTTTTAGACTTTATTAATTAGTGTGAACACTGTTACGGAATCGTAGTGTCTTTTTTTAAAATGTTGAAATGTTGAATAAATAAATTTAATAATAATAAAAAAGAAAACGTTTCACTTCCCATCCAAGAAGCTTCTTCAGTTCTTCAGAACCTTCAGTTCTGAAGAACAAGAGGTCCAGGCTTGGTTAATAAAGTTGGGAGGTCAGGAAGAGAACAACAAATCACTTCTGTATTGTTTGCACAAGATAACTTACAAGAAGCCCAAACTTCAGGGAAGCTTTTATCCGTACCTCCTGAGGGCCACCTGACTTAGTTGATCTAAGCAGGTCAGTTCTGACCTCTGCAACCTTTGGACAAGCAGAGTCAATAATAGGGAAGCCAGATTCACTTACCAACTGACTTAACAGCGGTAGTGATTCACTTAGCAAGAACAGTCGTAAAATGGGGCAAAACCAGAGGTGGTATTCAGCCGGTTCTGACCAGTTCTGGAGAACCGGTAGCAGAAATTTTGAGTAGTTCGGAGAACCGGCAAATCCCACCTCTGACTGGCCGCATCCCCATCTATTCTCTGCCTCCCATTGAGTCCCAGCTGATCGGCTGGGTTTCCTTTGGTTGCCCTGCACAGGAGAACGGAGCTGGAAAGCAGGTTAGTGGGGTGGGGTGGGGAGGGAATGGGGATTTTGCAGTATATCCTTCCCCTTCCATGCCCACCAAGCTACGCCACGTACACAGAACCGGTAGTAAAAAAAAAATTGAATCCCACCACTGGGCAAAACCCACTTAAATGTCTCACTTAGCGGTGGAAATATTGGGCTCTGCTGGTCGTAAGTCAAGGACTACCTTTACCATTAGTTAGAATTGTTTCTGGGCTCATGGATGTTTTTGGTGCCTTCCCGCTGAGTGCTGCAGATTAACGAGTGGTGGTTCTTCCTTTCTTCAGGCTACCTCCCTGCTTTTCAGGCTTTCCCGTGGAATGAGTTTTCCATGCAAGGACCATCCTTCACCCACTCCTTCTCCTCCCCAATACCATTTTCCGGCTTGGCGACAATCGCGGGGGGCTCTGCCCAGCAGGCACCCTTTGCCCTGAACCAGTCCCTGCCTGCCAGCTCCTGCTTTCTCCAGCTGCCAAAGGGCCCCGGGCCTGGTGCCACCTTGCTGTTTACCACCAAGCCAGTGGTGCCAATGAATCTGGAACCCCTGTCTCAGCCACTGCCCAGGACGCTGGCAGAAGAGGACTCGGATGCTGACAATGGTCCTCAGGAGATGGAGAGTGAGTCGCTGCCAGGTGAGTGTGTCTGATCCAAAATAAAGACAGTCAGGATTTGGGTTTCCAGGAAAGAAGCCTTAAGAAAGAGCAGAGCATTTGGGAGGAAACCAAAGCTGCTTCTCTGGCAGAACATAGAATAATAAGAGTTGGAAAGGACCTTCTTCTAGGCTTGAGCAGGAGGCCTCATACCAATTCAGACAATTGACTGTCCAGTCTCTTCTTAAAAGCCTCCAGTGATGCAGCACCCACAACTTCTGAAGGTCACCTGTTCCGTTGGTTGATTGCTCTCATTATTAGGAATTTTCTCCTTAGTTCTAGGTTGCTTCTCTCCTTGGTTAGTTTCCTTTCCTTGTTTCTGCTTTTTGGTCCTTTGGAAAATGGTTTGACACCTTCCACCCATCTTAGTAGCAGCCCCTCAAATATCGGAAGACTGCTATCATGTCACCCCTAGTCCTTCTTTTCATTAGACTAGACAGACCCAATTCCAGCAACCTATCTTTATATGTTTATCTATCATCTATCTATCTAATCTCTCTCTCTCTGTGTGTGTGTGTCTCTCGCCCTCCCTCCCTCCCTCCCCCCCATGTGTGTGTGTGTGTGTGTGTGTGTGTGTATATATATACATGCGTGTATGTATATAGATGTATAGATGTATAGATGTAGATGTATATATGTATATATATTTGTTTTCTTAAGTTTTCGTGGGTACTTACATGTATGGTATTCAGCTTTGTTCAGATATTTTCCCACATCATTATAGTTGTGCTTTTAAAGTTGTAGCAATATATATATACATACATACATACATACATACATACATACATACATACATACACGAACGAACACAATACAGACGAACACAATACAGAAGCCTGATGATGGCAGATGAGATTCTGCCGAAACGTTGCTACAACTTTAAAAGCACAACTATAATGACGTGGGAAAATACCCGAACAAAGCTGAATACCATATATATACATACATATATATACCGTGTTTCTCATATAATAAGGCCGGGTCTTATTTTTTATTTTTTTTTTGAGCCCTGAAAAAACGGCTAGGCCGTCTTTTTGGGGGTGACTTAATTCCCCCCCCCCCTTGCATCTTAGGGCGGGCGGCGACGGCTTGGATGTTGACCTCAAAGTTGGTGGGGCACTTCATATCGGGGTCAACGCAGGCAGCACCATATCCGGGTGTGCAACAAAAGTACTTCCTAACAGCAAGACCCCCCCCCGCCATTCCTCCCCCCCCCATTTCGCATGTTTTAATATAGGTCTTAATATATATACGTGGGGTTGGGCTGCCCTCTCGGGCAGGGGAGGCTTTGTTGTAGTAGGGCGTCATTTTTAAAATAATTGGCTTTACCTTCGAAGGCAAAGGGAAGGCGGCGACAGGAGCGCCTGAAGCCGAGTGTCTCCGCAGGGCTCCAGTTGCAGGGAGGAGCCCTGGCTGGCTGTGCATAGCTGCGCCAAACGCCGCAGCGTTGCTCTAAACGCTGCGGCAGCAAGGGAGAAGGGAAAGCAACGGTGGCAGAAGGTCTCCCAATACGAAGTGCCCCACCAACGCAGGCAGCACCACATCCGGGTATGCAACAAAAGTACTTCCTAACGGCAAGCCCCCCCACCGCTATTCCCCCTCCATTTCACATGTTTAATATAGGCCTTAATTTGGGGGGAGGGGCTTAATTTGATTTTATGCCAATAAAACATGCTGGGCCTTCCTATTGGTGGAGGCCATATTGTTGGAGAAACACGGTATATATCTGTCATCCATCTATGAAATACCACGCATGCTTCATCACAAAATCTCCAGAACCGTAAAGCCCACAAACTTGAAATTTGGCACTTATCTTCCGCTTGGCTTCTAGGTGCTCACTAAGAAAGGATGTTTCAAAATGACCATCAGAGCATTAGTATTTCGTACATTATTATTAAAACTCTCTGATACTAAGGAGTTCTACTCCCCACCTGAAAAAAAAAAATCTCTTCCAAATGCAAAACACAAGCAGAGGAGTTTCAGTTTCAGTTTCACAGCTTTAGTACAGAACAGTTGAGCGAAGCCACGCCTAGGGTCCTTGCTGTCTCCTTTTTTTTTTTCCACACAGCAAATACTGCTTCAGTTTCCAAACAGTCCTCAATTCTCTCTCACACTGACAGGATGCCAGTCAGATGAATACCGATGGATGCTGGTAGGCAGAGGCAGAATTTCCCCCCCCTTATTTTCCTCTGCAAAAACTAAGCCCGACCACATAGTTTTGTAGCGAATTACGGGTATAGAGCTAGTAATGTAACGTTCATAACATAAGCAAAGACTTCCTTTGGTGGCCATGCCTACTCCATCATCTTGCTATTTTGGTCCCTTGGTTGGTCTTTCAGGGCTCCACCCCACAATGATCCCAAACCACCATTTCGATTGCCTGCCCATTGCCTGGGGCTGGTTCCTTTATTGCAAAGTTGGGGAGCGAGGGCCCTATTATGACTTGTGGACTTCAACTCCCATAATTCCTGAGCCAGCCATGCTAACTAGGAGCCATGCTGTCTCAGGAATTCTGGGAGTTGAAGTCCACAAGTCATAAAAGGGCCATCATTCTTCACCCCTGCTTTACTGCAATAGAAGATGGAGAACGAGAGAGCACGGGGCACGTGTTCTGCAATGATGAACCCAAGGAGGACACCCCATAAGAGGGCTTTGTGGACAACCCAAGCATCAGATTAGCTCCTAAATGACCTTTTGTGTTTGGCGCGCTGACAGTTTGATTGCATGTTGCTTTTGACTCTCTTCCCTCAACCCAGACAATGCCTTCACAAGACTGACCTGACTCACTGATCCTTATCTTTTCAGATTTCTCCGAAGGCAGCAAGATAGGACTCAACTTTTCTCCTTGTCAGGCGAGAGATGAGAAAACAGCCTGATTCCCGTTAAGCCGTTCTTGGCAAGATCAACAGAAACACGATATGCTTTGAATGTAAGCGTCTTGGAAAACTGAAAAGAAGGAAAAAATACTAGTATTGTCACTACAGGACGTGTTCTTATTGTTGCTGCTACGGTTATTATTTATTCTTGTGGTTGCCCTTATTATCTGCTGAGATAAAGAAGCGGTAATAAAGCAAATCTAATTCTTTCCTTTACACACAAGAATTTGTTCTTCTAAATGACTTTTAGACCCCGATGAGGTTTCCAAAGGGCATACCAGGTTCAGTTTAGTTGATTACAGTCAGAGACCAGGGACCAGAACAGAATAAAAACACTCAGTAAATGAACAATTAAAAAATCTAGAATAAAATAATAAATAACAGTTGAAATCTATGATCAGATCCAGTCTGCCAGTTATACATGGTCTAACTTATACCAAAATTACAATCCATAAATTGCGTGGCCTGTCATTGTTCTGACTTAGGCTTCACAAAATCACGAAGCAGATTCCTTATCCCGACAAAACCCCTTTTTATTAAGCTAACGTGAATTCCTATCATTCACATTCATCAAAGTCCCGGCAGTCTTTCAAAGGTGAGTTGCAACCACAGACCTTATCAGGCTTGGAGAGTTGCCAGGCCGATAGCTTCCAAGCGCAATGCTGTACAAGAAAATACTTGGCAAGGAGTCTTTGTGAGTCACAAACAAATCTTCACTAATTAAACGAACTAATTGTCTCCTGCAAACACCACTCTCCTTTCACTCCTCTTTATTCCCTATGGGAGGGGCCATTCACCGTCCACCTGTGCCTTTACTCCTGAGTCAACCCTTGTTCCTTAGCTGTTCCATTCTCCTGGCAGCTCTGCACATGCGCACATCAGGAACAGGCTCCAGCTGTTCTTCTGCCCTTCTGATCTCCGAAGGCAGCTGATGACTGTCAGACAACCCTGGCCCCATCTCTGCCTCCGACACAGAGCACTCTCCAGAGCCTGCCCCAGACTCCAGGACTGCCCCAGATTCCTCCCCAACCTCTTTACTTTCCGACTCTGCTCCCAGTTCTGCTGGTGGGCCACAACCGTTGTCAGTTTAATACTAGAAGGGAAAGGAATAAGCAGTGCAAAACATTTGTTGTATAACATAACTATGGTGGATTAGACATGTATTTGTGACGAATCCCTAGTGCTGCTGCACCGAATCTAGCCATCTGCCCTGTAGTTACGGACAGCTCATCCTTAAACAGCCACTGGAGATAACCAGAATGGCCAGAATACCTAGCAATTATTGGAAGAATGTGTTTTTTCCGAATCTCTGTGTCAAAGGAACATCGTAGGAGTATGTGATCCAGGGGTGGGTTTCTACTGGTTCTGTCCACTTCTGTAGAACCGGTAGCTCTGAAGAGCAGCAGACATAGAAGCAGTTCTATGTCTGCTGATGTTTTTGCCCACCCACCCACCTGGGCTGTTACCTGACCTTTATTTCCTGATTTTTTTCAACTTCAGCTGCCGTGCAAGGCACAGCTGCAGTTAAAAAAACAAGAAAAGAGCTGTTTCAAAGGCTGCTTCTCTGCACCCAGCATGCTAATGACGTGCTAATGACAATTTACAGGTGCGCGGCTCACAGCAGGCAGGGAAGCTCGTAAATCCCGAACTGGTAGTTAACCCTGTCGTATCCCACCCCTGACGTGAACCCATGGTCTCCACCTCTCCTGAGCCACAGAAACAGAGTCTTTCTGTCAATGGTATCCTTTTATACTTGCCTTACAGGATGGCCGATGGAAGTGCATGGCACTGTGTGAGAGAAAATGCTTTCCGGTGGTTTAAAGGGCATAAACAACAGCCCTCCAACTTTTGGGCACCAGGGACCAGTTCCATAGAGAGAGGTTTTCCTGTGGACCAGAGGGAACGTGGTTTCATGTCCTGCCTGCATCCCGTGGATGGGGATTGTTTGCATGGCCTGGTTTCTGGCATGCCACTGACCGGTGCCGGCCCACAGACATGGGGGTTGGGGACCCCTGCTGTAAAACGATGGCCATCAAGATGGTGGCCATCAAAGCTCCTGTTCTGACCCAGGCTTCATCAAACGCAATTAAACACAAACCTGTTTTAAAAGCAAAACCTATTTTATTGCAATGCTGGAAGTTACTTTCATTCCCAGCCAGAACTAATCTTAAACAGTTCCCTAAGATAAGCCCACGCCTTTCAGTGCTGTGGAATGCTGCCAAAAACAGAAGTATTCAAATTAATTATAACAAAAACCAACCGAAGTACCAGAAAAAAACCAACCAGTTTATACAGAGCTTCAAGGAGGACTCTGAATCTATTGGACTACTTTGCTTCCTGCAAAGAGTTCGTCATTGAGTTCTGACTTTTATCCCTTATGGGAGGGGCAATCACCTCCCAGTCTTACTCCCGAGTCGCCCCTTTTGTCTCAGCTGCTCTTGCCTTCTAGCAGCTCTGTGCACATGTGCACTGGGAACAGGCTCCCCTGGATCCTCTCGCTGCTGCCAGACTCCGGAACCTCCGGAGTCAGCACCCCACTCCCAGATGGTCCTGGCCCTATCCCTGCATCGGACGCAGGACCCTTGTCCAAGTCCTCCCCAGACTCCCTGGCTGGTCCCCTTTCTTCCTCACTGTCTGACTCCACTGCCGTCTGCACCAGCTGCCAGCGAACAACAACAGCTCCATCTATTTGTTCAGACCTTGTGAACACCCTTGCTGGTTATGCCTGAAAAGAGAGGTATAAAACTGGTTCTGCTCGTAATAGGCAGGGGATTTCTCTCCCTACTGTGCTCTCATTCAAATCTTAACTCTGGCCTCTAGTTTCCTGTTCCTGAATAGCAACAGAAATATCTAACTGAAATCTCTGAGTTCTCATTTATTTTGCAAAGCTCAGTGTCTCTCGCTAAAATTCCTTGTGATCAAAATTCAGATCCTTTGGCCACTGGTTCATACTTATGACGGCTTTCTTTTTCTTTCTCTCTTTCTCTCTCTCTCTTCTCTTTCTGTTTCTCTTTCTCTTGTTCTTTCTCTTTCTTTCTTTGTCTTTCCCTTTTTCTCTTTCTCCTCTCTTTCTCTCTGCCTTTCTTTTTCTTTCTCTTCACTCTCTTTCTCTCTGTCTCTCTTTTCTTTCTCTTTGTCTTTCTCTCTTGTTCTTTCTCTTTCTGTCTTTCCCTTTCTCTCTTTCTCCTCTCTTTTTCTTTTTCTTTTTCTTTCTCTCTTTCTCTTTCCTTCTGTCACTGTCTCTTTTCTCTCTCTCTCTCTTTTCTTTCTTTCTTTTTTTAAAAAAGGGAAGAAACTACTTTCCACTTAAAAAGGCCCGAATGTGGAGGAAATAAATTTCAGTGGCAGCTTTTCACAGGCAGAGGCATCACCCCAGTGGACTGAGCTTCTCGGAAACGCTTACAAGCACTCTTTCCAAATCAATCAACCTCCAGCCTGCCAGGATCCAGGTTATCTAGAAAGTAGAAGGGGAATAACTTGATCTGATTTAATATCTTTAATACAGTTAGGCTGCATGACTTAACATGGAATTAAACCTCATTGAACTTAGTGGACTTTACCTGCCAGTGCAAAGGACTGTATGCTAAAAAAAAATAAAAAAATAACTACATTGACATTTTTAATGCACCCAGGCACAATGTTTTGCCACAATAGTTATAAGCAATGGGATGAAAATGCTTGGTGAGGAAAAACATTAGCACAAGACCACAATTGAGCCCAAAATTTCTGTTACTAAGTGAAACATTTGTTTAGTCAGTTTGCCCCAGTTTACGACTCTTCTTGCCACAGTTGTTAAATGGATCACTGCCGTTGTAAGATAGTAACATGGTTCTTAAGTGAGTCTGGCTTCCTCGTTGCTTGTGAGAAGGTTGCAAAAAGGGATCACATGACCCCTGGAGACTGCAACCCAGTAGTGGCATTCTACCGGTTCGGCCCGGTTCACGCGAATCGGTAGTAAAAAAATGTTACCGTTCAGCTGAACCAATATTTCTTTTCTTTTTCTCCCAACAATCAGCTGTTCCGATGATCAGTTGTGCCAGGATCCCCCTCACTGTCTTACTGCTTCGCCCAGGAGGCTTCCCTGAGGCCCAGGAGGCAAAAAAATGGAGCGCAGGGGGAGGTGCTGCAAAAAATAAAATAAAAGCCACGCCCACCCAGTCACATGGCCACGCCCACCTAGCCACACCCACAGAACCGGTAGTAAAAATATTTGCATCCCACCCCTGCTGCAACCGTCATAACTATGAGCCAGTTCCAAATTTTTACCATGGTGGATGCGGCGACGGTGGTGTGAAAACTGACCATAAATCACTTTTTTCAGTGCTGTCGTAACCTTGGAACGGTCACTAAATGAACTGTTGTAAGTTGAGGACTACCTCTACAATATGTGCCATAATTCAAAGATCTTGAGAAGTTCCTTTTGGCTTCAACACCTCGCCTTCGTTTGAAATGGGTTTGTTTAGCAGAAGAAATAACATTCTCTGTGGGTTGGTTTTGGGTTTTGTTTTGTTTTTTGCTTTCTCATTTGTAAAAAAAAAAAAAACAGCAGAGAGAAAAACTGCTGATTCCTGGCTGCCATAAAAGCTAATAATTTTTCAAAGGCCATAGATCATCAAACAAAAGCTGCACCTTATTTGTGAATGATGACTTTTGATGTCCAGGGGTACCGAAAAAAAACATAACGAAAGATGGATGAAGTATTGTTCTGGGCTCAAGGTTCATCTTGGTAGACCTTGAGATGTGATTCTTGGGCCCAGCCCACTAGGAAATCTCTTTCTTTCAGTGTTTAGGGCCAAAAGATCAGTTGGTCTCTATACAATTCAGCCCAACACAACAAAGATTAGTTTGCTTGGTGGAGCAAGTGAACTTCCTCTTTAAAAATGCCAGGAAATTTCTTATCTTAGGGAAGGCCAGCATTTCCTCAGTCAAATGTTATCATCCAGAGAGAGGAATTAATGTGTTTCTCTTGATGGATGTATCCTGTACATGTAAATTAGCCT